AAAATTCATAAAATTGAAAACACTGTGAAAAAGCTAGTGAACCATTCAGGAAAAACAGTGAAAACTTGAAGAAAAATAAAAAAGCCAATGATAAACGATTATCAAATGGAAGAGTAACCTAAGAAAGTCATGAACTAGAAGAAACTTGCATTTAAAATTCATCAAAAACAGAAAATTGATGAGCAGAATATTTGATTTGTAAAGGACTGCGATTTAAAACAGTTTTTCTTGATAAAATTGAACATTTACTTGGCAAAAAGTTCATAAAATTGAAAACACTGTCGAAAAAGCTAGTGGAAAAATTCAGGAAAAATACTGAAAACTTGAAGAAAAATTAAAACGCCAATGATAAACTATAATCAAACTGAAGAGAAATCAAAGAAAGTGAAGAACAAGGAGAAATTAGCTTTTAAAATTCATATAAAATAGAAATTTGTTAAGGATACCATTTGATTTGTAAAGGAATGTGATTTAAAACGATTTTTCCAGATAAAATTCAACATTTACTTGGCAAAAAATTCATTAAACTAAAAACACTGTGGAAAAATCAAACAAAAGAGACATCAAAGAAATTTATGAAAAAGGAGAAATTTTGGTTTAAAATTTAGAAAAGAGAGAAAATTGATAAGGAGACCATTTGATTTGTAAAGGATTGTGATTTAAAACAGTTTTTCCTGATAAAATTGAACATTTACTTGGAAAAAATTCATAAAATTGAAAACAATGTGGAAAAAGCTAGTGAAAAATTCAGGAAAAATAATGAAAACTTGAAGAAAAATTAAAACGCTAATGATAAACTATAATCAAACGGAAGAGAAATTAAAGAAAGTTATTAACAAGGAGAAATTTGTAGTGAACATTCATAAAACTTAGAAAATTGATAAGGAGACCATTTGATTTGTAAAGGAAAGTGAGTTAAAACAATTTTTCCTGAGAAAATTTAACAAAACATGGCAAAAAATTCATAAAACTGAAAACACTGTGGAAAAATCAAACAAAAGAGATATCAAAGAAATTTATGAAAAAGGAGAAATTTTGTTTTAAAATTCATAAAAGATAGAAAATTGATAAGGAGACCATTTGACTTGTAAAGGAATGTGATTTAAAAAAATTTCTCCTGATAAAATTGAACATTTACTTGGAAAAAAATTCATAAAATTGAAAACACTGTGAAAAAAGTTAGTGAAAAATTCAGGAAAAATATTGAAAACTGGAAGAAAAATTACAAAGCCAATAATAAAGTATAGTCAAACGAAAGAGAAATCAAAGAAAGTTATGAACAAGGAGAAATTTGCTTTTAAAATTCATAAAAATTAGAAAATTGATAAGCAGAACATTTGATTTGTAAAGGAATGTGATTTAAAACCTTTTTTCCTGACAAAATTGAACTTTACTTGGCAAAAAATTCATAAAATTGAAAACAGTGTGAAAAAGCTAGTGAAATATTCAGGAATAAATCGTGAAAACTTGAAGAAAATTTAAAACCCCAATGATAAAGTATAATCTAATGGAAGAGAAATCAAAGAAAGTTATGAAAAAGAAGAAATTTGCATTTAAAATTCATCAAAAATAGAAAATTGAAAAGCAGAATATTTGATTTGAAAAGGAATTTGATTTAAAACAGTTTTTCCTGATGAAATTGAACATTTACGTGGCAAAAAATTCATAAAACTGAAAAAACTGTGGAAAAATCAAACATAAGAGATATCAAAGAAATTTATGTAAAAGGAGAAATTTTGCTTTAAAATTCAGAAAAGATAGAAAATTGATAAGGAGACCTTTGATTTGTAAAGGAATGTGATTTAAAGCAGTTTATCCTGATCAAATTGAACATTTACTTGGCAAAAAATTCATAAAATTGAAAACACTGTGGAAAAACCTAGTGAAAAATTCAAGAAAAATATTGAAAACTGGAAGAAAAAATAAGAAGTCAATAATAAACTATAATCATACGAAAGAGAAATCAAAGAAAGTTATGAACAAGGAGAAATTTGCTTTTAAAATTCATAAAAAATAGAAAATTGATAAGCAGAACATTTGATTTGTGAAAGAATGTGATTTAAAACAGTTTTTCATGACAAAATTGAACATTTACTTGGCAAAAAATTCATAAAATAGAAAACACTGTGGAAAAAGCTAGTGAAAAATTCATTAAAAATAGTGAAAACTTGAAGAAAAATTAAAAAGCCAATGATAAAGTATAATCAAACGGAAAGAAATCAAAGAAAATTATGAATATGGAGATATTTGTATTGAACATTCATAAAACTTAGAAAATTGATAAGGATACCGTTTGATTTGTAAAGGAATGTGATTTAAAACAGCTTTTCCAGATGAAATTGAACATTTACTTGGCAAAAATTCATAAAATTGAAAACACTGTGGAAAAATCAAAAAAAAATATCAAATAAATTTACAAATAAGGAGAAATTTGCATTTAAAATTCATAAAAATAGAAAATTGATAAGGAGACCATTTGATTTGTAAAGGAATGTGATTTAAAACAGTTAATCCTGACAAAATTGACCATTTACCTGGCAAAAAATTCATAAGACTGAAAACACTGGAAAAAAACAAGTGAAAAATTCAGGAAAAATAGTGAAAAGTTGAAGAAATTATACACAGTCAAGAATAAACTATAATCAAATGGAAGAGAAACCAAAGAAAGTTATGAATGAGAAATTTGCATTTAAAATTCATAAAAGATAGAAAATTGATAAGCAGACCATTTCATTTGTAAAGGAATGTGATTTAAAACAGTTTTTCCTGATAAAATTGAACATTTACTTGGCAAAAAATTCATAAAATTAAAAACACTGTGAAAAAGCTAGTGAAAAATTCAGGAAAAATACTGTAAACTTGAAGAAAAATTAAAACGCCAATGATAAAATATAATCAAACTGAAGAGAAATCAAAGAAAGTTATGAACAAGGAGAAATTTGCTTTTAAAATTCATAAAAAATAGAAAAATGTTAAGGATACCATTTGATATGTAAAGGAATGTGATTTAAAACAGTTTTTCCAGAGAAAACTGAACATTTACTTGGCAAAAATTCATAAAATTGAAAACACTGTGGAAAAATAAAAGAAAAGAAATATCAAAGAAATTTATGAAAAATTAGAAATTTTGATTTAAAATTCATAATAGATAGAAAAATGATAAGGAGACTATTTGATTTGTAAAGAAATGTGATTTAAACAGTTTCTCCTGATAAAATTGAACATATACTTGGCAAAAAATTCATAAAATTGAAAACAGTGTGAAAAAAGCTAGTGAAAAATTCAGGAAAAATAGTGAAAAGTTGAAGAAATTATACACAGTCAATAATAAACTATAATCAAATGGAAGAGAAACCAAAGAAAGTTATGAACAAGGAGAAATTTGCATTTAAAATTCATAAAAAAAATCGAAAATTGATAAGGAGACAATTTGATTTGTAAACGAATGTGATTTAAAACAGTTTTTCCAGATAAAATTGAACATTTACTTGGAAAAAAATTCATAAAATTGTCCCGGTCATCACTGGTAGCAAGACCTACAGAATGTCAACATCACACTGCGCATCCTCTTCCGGCCAGTGGCCAGCCAGCTCCCTCGTATCTACACCAGCATCTGCGACGACTGTGATGAGCAGGTGCTGCTGTCTATCACCACAGAGATCCTCAAGTCTGTGATGGCTCGGTTTGATGCTGGAGAATTGATTACCCAGCGAGAGCTGGTCTCCAGGCAGGGGAGCAATGACCTCACAGAGCGAGCAGCAACATTTGGGCACATCCTGGATGATGTGTCCCTGACACATCTGACCTTTGGGAAAGAGTTCCCAGAGGCAGTAGAAGCCAAGCAGGTGGCTCAGCAGGAAGCAGAGAGAGCCAGATTCCTGGTGGAAAAGGCTGAGCAGCAGAAGAAGGCAGCCATCATCTCTGCTGAGGGTGACTCCAAGACAGCTGAGCTGATCGCCAACTCGCTGGCCACCGCCGGGGACGGCCTGATCGAGCTGCGGAAACTGGAAGCTGCCGAGGACATTACCTACCAGCTCTCCCGCTCTCGGAACATCACCTACCTGCCTGCCGGCCAGTCCGTGCTCCTCCAGCTTCCCCAGTGAGGCCAACCAGGCCGGCCTCCATCATTCGGAATGATGCCTTCCTTCTGCCCCACCCCAGAAATCACTGTGAAATTTAATGATTGGCTTAAAGTGAAGGAAATAAGAAATAAAGGTAAAATCACTTAAAAAAATCAAAGAAATTTATGAAAAAAGGAGAAATTTTCATTTAAAATTCATAAGAAATAGAAAATTAATAAGGAGACCATTTGATTTGTAAAGGAATGTGATTTAAAACAGTTTTTCCTGATAAAATTGAACATTTACTTAGCAAAAAATTCATAAAATTGAAAACACTGTGAAAAAGCTAGTGAAAATTTCAGGAAATATAGTGAAAACTTGAAGAAAAATTACAAAGCCAATAATAAACTAAAATCAAATGAAAGAGAAGTCAAAGAAAGTGCAGAACAAGGAAAATTTGCTTTTAAAATTCATAAAAAATAGAAAATTGATAAGCAGACCATTTGACTTGTAAAGGCATGTGATTTAAAACAGTTTTTCCTGATAAAATTGAACATTTACTTGGCAAAAAATTCATAAAATTGAAAACACTGTGAAAAAGCTAGTGAAAAATTCAGGAAAAATACTGAAAACGTGAAGAAAAATTAAAACCCCAATGATAAACTATAATCAAACTGAAGAGAAATCAAAGAAAGTTATGAACAAGGAGAAATTTGCTTTTAAAAATCATAAAAAATAGAAAATTGATAAGGAGAACATTTGATTTGTAAAGGAATGTGATTTAAAACAATTTTTCCTGATAAAATTGAACATTTACTTGGCAAAAATTCAAACAATTGAAAACACTGTGGAAAAATCAAACAAAAGAAATATCAAGCTGGGGAATTCATGTGGAGGTCAGAGTGAAAGCAGGTGTGAGTGGAAGCAACAGAAGGAGTCATGGCTGCCAAAGTGTTTGAGTCCATCGGAAAGTTCGGCCTGGCATTAGCAGTTGCAGGAGGCATGGTGAACTCTGCTCTATATAATGTGGATGCTGGACACAGAGCTGTCATCTTTGACCGATTCCGTGGCGTACAGGACATTGTGGGAGGGGAAGGGACTCACTTTCTCATCCCTTGGGTACAGAAACCAATTATCTTCGACTGCCGCTCTCGACCACGGAATGTCCCGGTTATTACTGGTAGCCAAGACCTACAGAACGTCAACATCACACTGCGCATCCTCTTCCGGCCAGTGGCCAGCCAGCTCCCTCGTATCTACACCAGCATCTGCGACGACTGTGATGAGCGGGTGCTGCTGTCTATCACCACAGAGATCCTCAAGTCCGTGGTGGCTCGGTTTGATGCTGGAGAATTGATTACCCAGCGAGAGCTGGTCTCCAGCCAGGTGAGCGATGACCTCACAGAGCGAGCAGCAACATTTTGGCTCATCCTGTATGACGTGTCCCTGACACATCTGACCTTCTGGAAGGAGTTCCCAGAGGCAGTAGAAGCCAAGCAGGTGGCTCAGCAGGAAGCAGAGAGAGCCAGATTCGTGGTGGAAAAGGCTGAGCAGCAGAAGAAGGCAGCCATCATCTCTGCTGAGGGTGACTCCAAGGCAGCTGAGCTGATCACCAACTCGCTGGCCACCGCCAGGGACAGCCTGATCGAGCTGCGGAAGCTGGAAGCTGCCTAGGACATTGCCTACCAGCTCTCCCACTCTCGGAACATCACCTACCTGCCTGCTGGCCAGTCCCTGCTCCTCCAGCTTCCCCAGTGAGGCCAACCAGGGCGGCCTCCATTATTCGGAATGATGCCTTCCTTATGCCTCACCCCAGAAATCACTGTCAAATTTAATGATTGGCTTAAAGTGAAGGAAATAAGAAATAAAGGTAAAATCACTTAAAAAAAATCAAAGAAGTTTATGAAAAAATGAGAAATTTTCATTTAAAATTCATAAAAAATAGAAAATTAATAAGGAGACCATTTGATTTGTAAAGGAATGTGATTTAAAACAGTTTTTCCTGATAAAATTGAACATTTACTTGGCAAAAAGTTCATAAAATTGAAAACACTGTGAAAAAGCTAGTGAAAAATTCAGGAAAAATATTGAAAACTTGAAGAAAAATTACACAGCCAATGATAAACTGTAATCAAACTGAAGAGAGATCAAAGAAGTTTATGAACAAGGAGAAATTTGCATTTAAATTTCATAAAACATAGAAAATTGATAAGCAGAACATTTGATTTTTAAAGGAATGTGATTTAAAACAGTTTTTATTGATAAAATTGAACATTTACTTGAAAAAATTCATAAAACTGAAAACACTTTGGAAAAATTATACAAAAGAGATATGAAAGAACTTCATGAAAAAGGAGTAATTTCATTTAAAATTCATAAAAAATGGATAATTGATAAGGAGAATATTTGATTTGTAAAGGAATGTGATTTAAAACAGTATTTCCTGATAAAATTCAACATTTACTTGGCAAAAAATTCATAAAATTGAAAACACTGTGGAAAAATCAAACAAAAGAGACATCAAAAAAATTTTCAAAAAAGGAGAAATTTGCATTTAAAATTCATAAAAATGGAAAATTGATAAGGGGAACATTTGATTTGTAATGGAATGTTATTTAAAACAGTTTTTCCTGATAAAATTAAACAATTACTTGGCAAAAAATTCATAAAATTGAAAACACTGTAGAAAACGCTAGTAAAAAATTCAGGAAAAATAGTGACAAATTGAAGAAATATTACACAGTCAATAATAAACTAAAATCATCGGAAGAGGAATCAAAGTAAATCACGAAACAGGAGAAATTTGTATTGAAAATTCATAAAAAATACAATATTGATAAGGAGAACATTTGATTTGTAAAGGAGTGTGATTTAAAACAGGTTTTACAGATAAAATTGAACATTTACTTGGCAAAAAATTCATAAAATTGAAAACACTGTGGAAAAATCAAACAAAAGAGATATCAAAGAAATATATGAAAAAGGAGATATTTGCACTTAAAATCAAAAAAATAGAAAATTGATGAGGAGAACATTTGATTTGTAAAGGAATGTAATTTAATACCGTTTTTCCTGATAAAATTAAATATTTAATTTGCAAAATATTCATAAAATTGAAAACACTGTGGAAAACGCTAGTGAAATATTCAGGAAAAATGGTGAAAACTTGAAAAAAAATTACAAAGCCAATGATAAACTATAATCAAAGGGAAGAGAAATCAAAGAAAGTTATGAACAAATAGGAATTTGCATTAAAAATTCATAAAAAATAGAAAGTTGATTAAGGGACAATTTGATTTGAACAGGAATGAGATATGATATACTTTTACCTGATAATATTGAACATTTACTTGGCAAAAAATTCATAAAATTGAAAACACTGTGGAAAAATAAAAAAAGAGATATCAAAGAAATTTATGAAAATGGAGAAATTTGTATTGAAAATCATAAAAAAATAGAAAATTGATGAGGAGACCATTTGATTTGTAAAGGAATGTGATTTCAAACAGTTTCTCCTGATAAAAGTCAATATTTACTTGGCAAAAAATTCATAAAATTGAAAACACTGTAGAAAAAGCTAGAGAAAAATTCAGGAAAAATAGTGAAAACTTGAAGAAATATTACACAGTCAATAATAAACTATAATCAAATGACAGAGAAATCAAAGAAAATTATGAAAAAGGAGAAATTTGTATTGAAAATTCAGAAAAAATAGAAAATTGATAAGGAGACCATTTGATTGGTACAGGAACGTGATATGAAACAGTTTTTCCTGATAAAATTGAACATTTACTTGGCAAGGAATTCATTAAATTGAAAGCACTGTGGAAAACGCTTGTGAAATATTCAGCAAAAATAGTGAAAACTTGAAGAAATACTACACAGTCAATAATAAACTATAATCAAATGACAGAGAAATCAAAGTAAATCATGAAACAGGTGAAATTTGTAATGAAAATTCATAAAAAATACAAAATTGATAAGGAGAACATTTGATTTGTAAAGGAGTGTGATTTTAAACAGTTTTTACAGATAAAATTGAACATTTACTTGGCAAAAAATTATTAAAATTGAAAACACTGTGGAAAAATCAAACAAAAGAGATATCAAAGTAATTTATGAAAAAGGAGAAATTTGCATTTAAAATTCATAAGAAAATAGAAAATTGATAAGGAGACCATTTGATTTGTAAAGGATTGTGATTTAAAACAGTTTCTCCTGATAAAATTGAACATTTATTTGGCAAAAAATTATTAAAATTGAAAACACTGTGGAAAAATGAAGCAAAAGAGATATCAAAAAAAATTTTTAAAACGGAGAAATTTGCATTGAAAATTCATAAAAAATGGAAAATTGATAAGGAGATCATTTGATTTGTAAAGGAATGTGATTTAAAACTATTTTTCCTAATAAAATTAAACATTTCCTACGCTAAAAATTCATAAAAATCAAAACACTGTAGAAAAATCAAACAAAAGAGATATCACAGAACTTTATGAAAAAGGAGTAATTTGCATTTAAAAAACATAAAAAATAGAAAATTTATAAGGAGACCATTTGATTTGTAAAGGAATGTGATTTAAAACAATATTTCCTGATAAAATTGAACATTTACTTGGCAAGAAATTCATAATATTGAAAACACTGTGGAAAAATCAAACAAAAGAGATATCAAAGAGATATATGAAAAAGGAGAAATTTGTACTTAAAATCATAAAAATAGAAAATTGATAAGGAGAACATTTGGTTTGTAAAGGAATGTGATTTAAAACAGTTTTTCCTGCTAAAATTGAACATATACATGGCAAAAAATTCATAAAATTGAAAACACTGTGGAAAAAGCTAGTGAAAAATTCAGGAAAAATACTGAAAACTTGAAGAAATATTACCCAGTCAATAATAAACTATAATCAATCAGAAGAGAAATCAAAGAAAATTATGAAAAAGGAGAAATTTGCATTTAAAATTCATACAAAGTGGAAAATTGATAAGGAGACCACTTGATTTGTAAAGGAATGTGATTTAAAACAGTTTTTCCTGATATAATTGAACATTATTTTGCAAGAAATTCATAGAATTCAAAATACTTTGGAAAAATCAAACAAAAGAGATATCAAAGAACTTTATGAAAAAGGAGTAATTTCATTTAAAATTCATAAAAAATATAAAATTCATATGGGGACCATTTGATTTGTAAAGGATTGTGATTGAAAACAGTTTCTCGTGATAAAATTGAACATTTATTTGGCAAAAAATTCATCAAATTGAAAACACTGTGGAAAAATGAAGCAAAAGAGATATCAAAGAAATTTTTTAAAAAGGAAATATTTGCAATTAAAACTCATAAAAAATGGAAAATTGATAAGGAGAACATTTGATTTGTAAAGGAATGTGATTTAAAACAGTTTTTCCTGATAAAATGAAACATTTACTTGGCAAAATATTCATAAAATCCAAAACACTGTGGAAAAATCAAACAAAAGAGATATCAAAGAACTTTATGAAAAAGGAGTGATTTCATTTAAAATTCATAAAAAATTGAAAATTCATAAGGAGACCATTTGATTTGTAAAGAAATGTGATTTAAAACAGTATTTCCTGATGAAATTGAACATTACTTGGCAAGTAATTCATAAAATTGAAAACACGGTGTGAAAAATCAAACAAAAGAGATATGAAACAAATTTATGAAAAAGGAGAAATTTGCACTTAAAATCATAAACAATAGAAAATTGATAAGGAGAACATTGAATTTGTATAGGAATATGATTTAAAACAGTTTTTCCTGACAAAATTGAACATTTACTTGGCAAAAAATTCATAAAATTGAAAACACTGTGGAAAAATCTAGTGAAAAATAGTGAAATCTTGAAGAAATATTACACAGTCAATAATAAACTGTAATCAAATGGAAGAGAAATCAAAGAAAATTATGAAAATGTGAAATTTGTATTGAAAATTATGAAAAATAGAAAATTGATAAGGATACCATTTGATTTGTAAAGGAATGTGATTTAAAACAATTTCTCCTGATAATATTGAACATTTACTTGGCCAAAAATTCATAAAATTGAAAACACTGTGGAAAAATCAAACAAAAGAGATATCAAACAAATTTATGAAAAAGGAGAAATTTGTTGAAAACCATAAAAAATAGATAATTGATATGGAGACCATTTGATTTGTAAAGAATGTGATTTAAAACAGTTTCTCCTGATAAAATTGAACATGTACTTGGCAAAAAATTCATCAAATTGAAAACACTGTGGAAAAATCAAACAAAAGAGATATCAAAGAACTTTATGAAAAATGAGTAATGTCATTTAAAATTCATAAAAAATAGAAAATTGATAAGGAGAACATTTGATTTGTAAAGGAATGTGATTTAAAAAAATTTTTATTTATAAAATAAAACATTTACTTGGCAAGAAATTCATAAAATTGAAAACACTGTGGAAAAATCAAACAAAAGAGATATCAAAGAAATTTATGAAAAAGGAGAAATTTGCACTTAAAATTCATAGAAATAGAAAATTGATAAGGAGAACATTTGATTTGTAAAGGAGTGTGATTTAAAACAGTTTTTTCTGATAAAATTGAACATTTACTTGGCAAAAAATTCATAAAATTCAAAACACTCTGGGAAAATCTAGTGAAAAATTCAGGAAAAGTAG